CGTCCTGCCGAGCCTGACGGATCATGTGACCGGAAAGGGCACGCTTCCTTATCGCCATCTTGAATGAGGGCAGAGGTCTGCCCGAGCATCCTTTGCCTGTCTCTAAATACTCCCGCAGTTGGGCTTTCCCTTTTGGGGAGTGATTTCCTGATCCTGGACCCATTAGTACCAGAGGAAGAAGCAAAACCTTGTGACAAAAAACTCTAAACGTACAATCTCCCGGAGACAGTCATCAGTTAAGTTCATTTAGTCATGCCCATCTCTCCAAAGTGATGTTAACACACACTCCTTTATTAAAGCTTTTTAGGCACCATCTCGGTGTTACTAATCCCGTATTAGCTTCACTCAGAGGAGTGAGCTAGGTTGGTTACAATTCTTGACCGGCCCTTGCACTCATCTGAAAAGCTGGGACGACTTCGTGGCAGCTGTAAACATCTGGGCAGACACAACACTGGGTTGGTTCTTCACTGTTTCAAGAAGTCGCAGCCCAGAGGATGGATTTGACTTGTGCCTGTTGTGGGCCAACCTGGAGACTTACTCTATTAGTCCTCTGGGCCACAATCCTAAATCCGAATGGCTAGCTTAACGAGACTGATGCGGGATAGACCTTCAGGGTGAGTACTTTGAATTATAGCCTAGTTGGGAATTCAGACAAAATAAGTGGTTTTCAACTGGGCGATTTATTTGTTTGTTTGTTTGTTTTAACCTCCGGGGGACAACTGCGAACGTCTGGAGACCGTTTTGGGGAGAGTGCTGATGGCATTGAGTAGGCAGCGCTCAGCCTCCTACAAAGCGTCCACAACAAAGAACCCTCCAGTGCAAATACTCCAAAGCTTAGAAGCCCAGAGACACAACTACCCCGATATCTTGAGGATATCTGGTGCCACCTCTCCAGGGTTCAGTCCTTCCGTGGAAACGATTTCGTGTTGCCCACTTCCAAAATGGCTTCTGACCAATCGTGGAAGGCTCCAGCCAGATGGTTTGGTCCAGGCTGGCACCCCCGGGCTACAAAGCCAATGGAAGGGGCCCATTTGTGGAGCGAACCACTGGAGGGGCTGGAGCGGCAGGGGAGAGCCAGGGGACGCGCACCCTGAATTTTGCGCTTGAGGATCTCAGGCTTCCTGGCGGGGGGATGTCCCACGTTTCCATAGACCTTTGATCGTCGTGTGTCCCGGGGTGGGGGTGCGGCGGGACGAA